AACCAACAGACCTTGACTCAGTGAAACTAACTCTCCTCCCAGACTCACCCTTCCAGAGTGATGTTCAAATGTTTAAGCACTCACCAGGCTGGGGTCCACCTTAACCCCTCAGTGCTGGGGAGGTCTGCAGGGCGTCCCTGGAGGGGCTCGCGGAGGCTCCTCACTAGCAGGTGTGAGAACATCTCAGTAGCTCAACAACTGGTCCAGCTGCACCATCAGTGTGGCCACCACTGTCCTCCTGTTGACTCAGGTTAGAAAGGGAAGCCGCTTTCTCTCTTTATCCCAGAATGTCTAACTGGAGGGGATCTTATGGTTCATCTGCCCCCAACCCTTCTGTTTTCAGATCATCAAAGAAACATTTTGTGGGCAGGCAGTTTTCGCCAGACCCAGTACTGGGAGCTGGAGTAGAGAGATGTGTCAGGAGTCCCTGCAGTCCGCGATGACAGGAGGGAGGAGACAGCCCAGGTTAGAGAGATTTGGAAGGTAGAACAGACAGGGTTTGGGGTGGCTGAGGAGTGGGGAAGAGACTGGAAGAGGAGGGCATCAGGATGGCTCCAAGGATTCTGACCAGGGTGACCGGGTGGATACTGGGATTGAGCCATCGGCTACAAAGAGGTGCTCTCACAAGCTACAGTGAATGTACCAGAAATAGTGACTGTCCTTGCAGAACTGCAGGAACAGCATCATAGGAGGAGCCCCTTCTGTGTTCCCAGAGAATGTCAAGTGCGCCTCTATCAGTTCTGAGCAGCCAGTGTTGGAGGATGTGTCAACCTTCCTCCTGTTGCATCAGCCCTAGGAGCTGTGTCAGCTTCTTGCAATTACTAATCTTGTAATCTTTCTTAGTTTGCCCTTCCTTCTGTATCAACATTTTTGTAAACAATTTCCCTCATTAAATTCCCTCTGTTGAAATACCTAGTTTTTCTGTTGACTTAACTAGACACTGGTTGCTGTGATTACATACCCACCAGATCAGCAAAAAAAAATTTTTTTTAATTTTATCAATTTATTTATTTATTTTTGGCTGCGTTGGGTCTTTGTTGCTGCGTGCGGGCTTTCTCTAGTTGCGGCGAGTGGGGGCTACTCTTCATTGCGGTGTGCGTGCTTCTCAGTGAGGTGGCTTCTCTTATTGCAGAGCACGGGCTCTAGGCACGTGGGCTTCAGTAGTAGTGGTGCGAGGGCTCAGTAGCTGTGGCTCGCGGGCTCTAGAGCACAGCCTCAGTAGTTGTGGCGCATGGGCTTAGTTGCTCCGTGGCATGTGGGATCTTCCCGGGCCAGGGCTCGAACACGTGTCCCCTGCATTGGCAGGCATATTCTTAGCCACTGCACCACCAGGGAAGTCTGGGAACATTTTTAAAGTTTGATAATACCAAGTATTGGGTAGGATGTGGAGCAACTGAAGCTGCTGATGGCAGGGGTGGGGTGTGTGTGTGTGTATAAATTGAGGCACTTTGAAAAACAGTTCGACATCAGCTATTAAAGTTGAAACTCTATGACCCAACAGTTTATCTTGTAGGTATAAAACATAGAGAAAATGGTATACATATGCATTAAGATATATGTACAAGTAGTATTGCTTGTGAAAGCCAAAAGATGAATGATCTAAATGTCCATCAACAAAGATGAATAAATTGTGGTATATGAAATTCAATGGACTACGATATAGCAATGACAAAAAAATGAATGAGCGCTACACACATTACCAGACATGGAAGTTACAAACATCATGGTGAGTGAAAGCAGCAGTACACAAAAGAGAATGACAGGGACTTCTCTGGTGGAGCAGTGGTTAAGAATCCGCCTGCCAATGCAGGGGACACGGGTTCGAGCCCTGGTCCAGGAAGATCCCACATGCCGCAGAGCAACTAAGCCTGTACGCCACAACTACTGAGTCCACATGCTGCAACTACTGAAGCCTGCGTGCCTACAGTCCGTGCCCCGCAACGAGAAGCCACCGCAATGAGAAGCCCGTGCACCGCAACGAAGAGTAGCACATGCTCGACACAACTAGAGAAAGCCTGCACAGCAACGAAGACCCAACGCAGCCAAAAATAAATAAATAAACTTATTTTTTTTAAAAAAGAGAGAGAATGACAGTGTAATACACTTTACAAGGAGTTCAAAAAGGAGAAAAACTATAAAGTACATTGTAGTAGGCAGAAAAAAGCCTCCCAAAGACGCTCGTGTCCTAATACCTGGAACCTGTGAATGTGTTACTTCACGTGGCAAAAGAGACCTTGCAGATGCAATAATAAGGACCTTGAGATGGGGAGATTAATGTGGATTATCTAAGTGGGCTCAAAGAAATCACAAAGGTCCTTGAAAGCAGAAAAGGGGGCAAAATAGAAAAGTCAGAGCGGAACATGTGATTACAGAAGAAAGGCACAGCGATGTGAAATGTTGCTGGCTTAGAAGAAGAAGGAAGCGGTCATGAGCCGAGCAATGTGGGTGTCCTCGAGACGCTGGAAAGGGCCAGCAATGGATTCTCCTCTAGAGCCTCAGAAAGAAACACAGCTCTGTGGACACATCGATTTTCAGCTCAGTGAGACCTGTGTCAGGCTTCTGACCTACAGAACTCTGAGATAATACATTTGTGTTGTTTTTAAGCCACTAAGTTTGTTACAGCAGTGATAGGAAACTAATACATATATATTGTTCAATCTTTTTCTGTTTTTCAGATTGGATAATTTTTATTGATCTGTCTTCAGGTTCTTTATTTCTTCTGTCATCTTCAATCTGTAGCTAAGCCCATTCAATGAATTTTAAATTTCAGATATTGTACTTTTCAGTTCTAGAATTTCCATTTGGGTCTTCTTTCTAGCTTCTATTACTCTGCTCAAATTTACTGTCTTTCCAGTAGTCATTAGTGTATTTTCTTTCATGTCCTTAAGCACACTTATAACAACTACTTTAAATATCTTTGCTAATTCCAACATCTGGGTTCTCTTGGGGTCAGTTTCCATTGCTTTTTTTTTTTTTTTTTTTCTCTTGGTCATATTTTCCTGTTTATATGTTGAGTAATTTGGATTCTGTTCTGGTTATTGTGAATAATACGTGATATGGAGTCTGGATACAGCTCCTCCACAGAATATTGATTTATCTATTTTAGCAATTAACTTGGCTGAACTCCTTCCGCAAATTAGGTCTCCCTTTTAGCAAAAAGCAGCTCAAATTTCAGTGTTGCTCTTTTAGCCTCAGCTGGGCTTCCTGGAGTCTACCCCATGCCTACATAACTCGGTGGTCAATCAGAGGTCTGGACAGGATATATATGCAGATTGGGGCTCCTCAGCTCTCGTTCTCTGCTCTGGAACTCCCCTACTTAACTCGCCAGCTTTTGCCACAATCTGTTTTTCAGTTTTCAAACTAGGAAGACTGTGGGGCTCTATTCAGGTTTTAGCTGTCTGTCTACCTCTTTTAGCTGTGAGGATTGGGGCCTGCTTTTAGCCTAAATCTATTTTAAGAAGTGGGAAACTCACTCGGTTCCTTTCTTTTCCAAGTGTCAACCCCCATCCAGTATCTGCTTGTTTCGGTTGCTTTCTGGTGCCTTCAGGTCATTGTTTTTTATATTTTTCCCCAGAATTTACAATTGTTACCTGTGGAAGCTTGGTTCAATAGAAGTGGAATATCTAAAAAATACAGCTTACGGATTAATACATAGTGGTAAACTATAAGGTATAACAAGGGGAGGAATGTTAGTCTTGGGAATGTGATCAGGGAGAGACACATAGGGACCATCTAAAATGATGGCAGTGTTCTAGCTCCAAAACTGTTTGGTGGTTATATAAGTGTTTGCCTTATTTTTATAAATCTTCAAAGTGTTACAGATATCTTACATACTCTTCTATATATGACATACAATTTAAAATACAATGTTTAGTGTCTTTAACGACGGAGATATAGAATTGGAACCATGGGCCTACAGCTGGCAGGTGATGCCATGGAGATGAATGAGGTCTACTTGGAGGGCGTGCAGTGCAGGAAGGGGAAAGGTCTGGGAGATCCTGAGGAGCCCTGGCATTTCCTGGACAGGCAAGGGGACGGGGGCCCACAAAGGGAGTCTTACGCAGTGCAGTCAGACCCTTGGGAGGAGAAGTGGTCTGCCACCCATGGAAGTGTGCGATCTCCGGAAAGCCAAAGGAGGAGACTGTCAAGAAGGGAGTGGTCTAATGTACAGAGCCAAAAAAAAAAAAAAAAAAAAGGAGTGGTCAACAGAATCAAGCACTGCAGAGAGAACAGCACAAGCTGAAGCTGGAGCTGTGCTAATGGGAGTGTAAGGTTAGGGGATGGTTATCACTCGGTTCACTGGTGAGAGGGGGTCAGTATCCTGATACAGTGCATTGAGGAGTGAACAGAAGGTGAGGTGGGAAGGCAACAAGGCCAGGCTCCATCTCAAGGGCAGGACAAGGTACATAGGCACCTGGGAGTATTTGAAAGAAAAGTGTAGTAAAGCTCAAATCAAAACAGTAGAAGAGGAAAGACAAGAGTCACAAAAAAGGGTGAAGTGACATCCCTGCCAACTGAAACTGATTAGGGTCTGTCTAGAGATTGGAATGGAGAAGGAAGAGGAAGCATCTTTGTTGAATTTGTATACTTGTGTTATAATTATGTATTCATACATCCCGGCCACCTGTCTGGAGTGAGTGCAAAGGCTCAGGGAAAAGTTAGTAAGGCTCGGCCTGGCCTCTGCAGTGGAGAGGACCGTACTCCACAAGGAAAGGCCTGTCCAAGCCTGTCTCCCCATCACTGAAACAACTGAATGCTTCCAGTTCCTCTGCATGTTCCTTCCAGAGGGCTCCTGGGACCACCATGGCACCCATCCCCACCCCAACATAGGCCCTGGCCCAGGATGGCCTTCCATTTGGGATGTCTCCTCCCCCTTACTGTTGCCTTTAAAGCATCTGAGAAGGAGAAGTGGGTATGGGTGGAGAGGAAATTTGGTGATGGGTTGTACCCAACCCACCTGGGTACAAAAGTACCACCGGGACAAAGTACCACAAACTGGGGGACTTAAACAACAGACATTTATTGTCTCACAGTTCTAGAGGCTAGAAGTCCAAGATCAAGGTGTCAGCAAGGCTGGTCCTGAGGGAGAATCTCTTCAGGCCTCTCTCTCAGCTTTGGGGGTTGCTGGAGATCTCTGGTGTTCCTGGGCTTGTAGATACATCCCTCTGATCTCTGCCTCCATCTTCACATGGTGATTTCTGTGTCTTCACATCTTCTTTCTTCTGTGTGTGCCTGTCTCTGTGTCCAGATTTCCCCTTTTGATGAGGACACCTGTCACATTGGATTAGGACCCACACTTAGGACTTCATTTTAGCTTGATTATCTCTGTAAAGGCCTTATTTCCAAATAAGGTCACATTCACAGGTACTGAGGATTAGAATGCCAACATATTTTTTGGGGGGGACACATTTCAACCCATAGCATGGGTATATGGGGGTTTGTTATACTCTGTTTATATATGGGGTGTATGCTCTCTACTTTTGTATACGTTTGAAATTTTCCATAATAAAATGTTAAATAAGCAAAACAAAACAAAACAACCCCCCCATCCCCTTTCAACCCCTTTCTCAATTCAGCTTCATATCAAAATTCCTTCAGAGATGTCTCCTCCCACTGACTTGCCCCCTCTCTGCCCAGCTGTCTTGAACCTACTTCAAACAGGCTTTTTTTTAAAAAAAACATTTTATTTTATATTAGAGTATAGCTGATTAGCAATGTTGTGATAGTTTCAGGTGCACAGCAAAAGGACTCGGCCATACATATACATGTATCCATTCTCCCCCAAACTCCCCTCCCATCCAGGCTGCCACATAACATTGAGCAGAGTTCCCTGTGCTATACAGTAGGTCCTTGTTGGTTAACCGTTTTAAATATAGCAATGTAGGGACTTCCCTGGTGGCGCAGTGGTTAAGAATCCACCTGCTAATGCAGGGGACACGGGTTCGAGCCCTGGTCCAGGAAGATCCCACGTGCCGTGGAGCAACTAAGCCCATGCGCCACAACTACTGAGCCTGAGTGCTAGAGCCCGCGAGCCACAACTACTGAAGCCCGCATGCCACAACTACTGACGCCCGCGTGCCGCAACTACTGAAGCCCATGCGCCTAGAGCCCGTGCTGAGCAACAAGAGAAGCCACTGCAATGAGAAGCCCTTGCACTGCAATGAAGAGTAGCCCTCGCTCGCCACAACTAGAGAAAGCCCGCGCACAGCAATGAAGACCCAATGCAGCCAAAAATAAATAAATAAAGCAGTGTATACACGTCAATCCCAAACTCCCTGACTATCCCTTCCCCTCTGGTAACCATAAGTTTGTTCTCTAAGTCTGTGAGTCAAACAGGGAATTTCTACCAGTATCTATCTGTCAGGGTCCAGGCAGGGGGCAAAAATCATACAAGTGATTTGAACAGGGAAAATTTCAATACAAAGAATTATTAACGAGGTAAAAGATGGTTAACTAGTGGGTGGAATAAAAGAGAAGGCGTAACTGAGGTAGCAACCCAGCAGAGGCGAGCACCTCTGGGGCTGAGGTAAACGTGAATAAGGAAGGATTGGGAAGCTTAGGGCACGAGGCTCCACAAGGCTGAGGTTCAGATTTCTGACGTGAGGCCCCGGCTGGCACAAGAACACGGTACCCCCGTAAATGAAACAAAGGCGGAAGAATGCTGGGATGAGAATTACTGAATGTTTAAAAGTAAATTAATGACCAAAAACGATACACAACACGATACATAGGCATCTCTGGTTTTGGAGCCTGGTCACGGACATTTTGGGACAGGATGATAGCCGCCTGGGCCTCTACGGTGAAGTCCACGTGGTGTGAGCCTCCAGAAGGGCTTCCCGTTACCCATGCTGACAATGAACAAGTGCAAAGTGGGTGAGGGGCTGACCCAAACAGAGTCCTTCCACGAGGAAGAGGGGGTGTAGCCAAATGCACTGGAAACATGTTCTGGGTGTTTAAGAAAAACCATGTCATTCACGTCACATAACAGCGACAGACTGCGTTACCTATAGACACTGGCTGTTACCCAGAAACACACGCCCCAAAGACCCTTGCGCTTTCCAGGACTAAATGACACAGAGACCCTTGCTGCCACCCGGGCATTACCCATAGACCCTTGCTGCCGCCCGGGCATTACCCAGAGACCCTTGCTGCCTCCCGGGCATTACCCAGAGACCCTTGCTGCCACCTGGGCATTAGCCATAGACCCTTGAGTTGCCGAGGACTGCATAACCCACAGACCTTTGCTGTTGCCCAGGAAATACGATCCTGACAGGCAGAGATTCTCTCACTTTGGGCTTCTCTTTTTTTCAAAGGTTACAATTAAGGGAACTGCATTCTAGGTTGTCCTTCCTTCCTTAAAATGTCATTACAGCTTGGGCTCACGTATGGTCACACATATGGATAACTGCTTTACCTTTCTGATCACACAATGAATAAATTCTTGTTATAAAAATTCACATAGTATGGATTATCTTTTATTAAATCGATTGTCTTATAAGAGGCAGGGGAAGAGAAGAGAAGCAATCCAGTAGATCCCTAACACCTGATCCATAGGGTAGACTAGAAAACGCAGAGAAAGCTCCTAGCCCGATGCATGGCACTCGGTCAGCATTCAATAATAATAGGCAATATCATTATCCTCAAGCCACAGGGGGGAGCTCGGGGAGAGGGACAGGAGTGAGCAGGGCTGACAGATTGTCAATGTAGTTATTGCCAGAGTCAGACAGAGGAGCCCAGGACCCAAATCTTCCCTGAGTTATGAAAGGAGCACAGAACAGGGAGCCCAACTGCGTTTAGTTCTTCTGACTCCAAGTCATGTATGCAACACGTTTTCTTGCTGTAAAATGAAGCAGTGTATGGTCTCCGTGTCTCCTAGTTCTAACGTGTTAGCACCCCCCAGTCAGCTTCAGGGAACGTCCTTGCCCTGAATCCTGCATCCTGCCCGCCATGGTCTCTACAGTAAAAGGGGGTAGGTTCTTCCTAGTTGATTAAGCAACCAGAGCAACACAGACTAGAATTCTTCAACTCCTACCATATAACAGAATAAGTGGGGTTTTCTTTCTTTCTTTTTGCTCAATAACTGTGACAAGGGTCAACTCTGCCTACACTACATTATTTTATTTTTTAAAAGATATTTATTTATTTGGCTGCATCAGGTCTGAGTTGCGGCACACGGGATCTTTCGTTGCAGCGCACACGCTTCTCTCTAGTTGTGGCGTGAGGGCTCCAGAGTGCACAGGCTCAGTAGTCACGGCACGCGGGCTCAGTTGCCCCGTGGCATGTGGGATCTTAGTTCCCTGACCAGGGATCGAACCCGGGTCCCTAACCAGTTACTGGGGTGGGCAACCTGATCCAAGTTGGGCCAAGTTGTCCCGCAAATCTGGAATTGGGTTTGATATTCCAGCCTTACTCTAGGCCTGTCTTCAGAATGGAACACATTTTTTAAAAAAATTAGGAGCTGTAGTATGACCATCATCTATCCCTGCAACCTAAGCGGTGGGGAAAAAAAAAAAAATCAGATGTGCATAGAGCAGCAGAGAATGAAACAGGATGCCCTCAAGGCGTGGAGGGGGTGCTGTGGTGTGCCAGCCAGATCCTCCGAGGGCCGGGGTGCCATTCCTCCAGCCATCGGCTGTGACAGCTCACAGCTGAGTTCTTCCCTGAGACTTGCCCTTTACTGAAGGGACCAGCCATGACCAAGGATATGACCTCCCTCGCGCAGTCCACCACCACCGACTGGTCCATGCAGGGGTACAAAGGGCTGGCCCCCTACCTTGATTCAGGACAACTCTAAAGAACCATCCCAGCTCCTGAGCTCCCTATGGAATTGGGTCAGGCTCCCAGCTGCATCGAAGTTCAACTTTTGTCCAGTGCAGCTTCTCTGATTTACTCAGAGGCTGCCCAATAAGCTGTCTGCATGCACGAATAAGAGACTCCAGCTTTGTTTCCCAGGGCACCCAACCTAAGATAAGAGGCTTATAGTTGAAAGGGACTGGTGGTATAACTGATGGTTGCTATGACGATGCAGTAGTTCCTCCCAATAAGCATCTCTGCTCCCTTGCTGGCTCTAGTGTTGGGTCTTCCTAGATTAATGTTTACTAAATGGAACATAGTTTGAGGGAGGTCAGGGTGGTAATCATTTCAGCCTCCAGCATAGCAGAGTAGGCCGGGGGAAAACTTTGCAAGGGAGGTAAAGTCTGGCCTTGGCACTTCATCCTTTTTCTGAACCTCCCTCACACAGCCCATCAGGTCCCCCCACCGTCCTAGGGCGGAGATGTGAGGTGCTTCACCCAGCCCAGCCGGCTTCTCTCTTTCAACAAGGACAGAGGGCCCACAAGGTGCGGGGCTCCTTCCCTTACCCATCTCGCCATCACAGTGCCCTGGACCAGGTCCCATCTCTGATCCCTGCAGTAGGCGACACACACATGCATTAATTCCCACCAGCTGCATTTTTACCACGGTGCTTTCCCTTGGGTTCCTGTTCCTGGTCTCAAGGAATTTCCTCCTCTGGTGAGACAGCAGCTCAGTCCCCATTTAAAATCTGGAAAAGTCTCCAGGCTGAAGGCGGTATAGACGCTCAGAGGCCCTCAGATGGGCTCCAGAAAAAAAATTTCATCCAAACCTCTCGTATTGCCACTGAGGAAACAGAAGTATTTTAACCAATCCTGCAGGTCGGGACAGGCGGGTGGGGAAATGCTTTTCCAACGACTGAGAGGTTCGTTTCAATTTGATTCTCTCACCACCCAGCAGCAGCCGCCTCCCGCCCTTTGGATGGTTTCCAGGCGTGAATTTGCTTCCAGGTGCGCAAGGGGCGCGGGGAAGGCGGGGCGCGGGCGGGTACCGTGGGGGAGGGGAGCGGGGGCGGGTGGGGGCCAGAGGAGCCGTTCTGGGGCCGGGGGCTGCCTGCGTGGCTGGGAGGTGGGGTGAAGGGGTGCAGGAGGGAGGGAGAGAGCGAGTGTGTGTGTGTGTGGTCCTCACCGCCCCCCACCCCGTTCTCCTTCCTTCTAGAACCCCTTCGGGGGCGGGGCGAGTCTCCATCCCGGCCGCGACTTACGCGACACTTTTTTGGAGAAAGAGAGCTTCCTTAATTGCGGGCAGTGGGGTGACAGGCCGAATGGAAGTGGAGAGAGGCATTTCATCCTTACCGGGACATAGAGTTCGAAGAAGACCCGCCTCCTGCAGACCCGGAATTCGACCCCTCGAGAGCGGCTCGGGCCGCACCGGCACCCGGCCGGTGCGAGGACGCAGGTGAGCGCTGCGGGGTTTAGGGTGAGCGCGAGCAGAAAGGGGGAGACGCATGAGGGGGCGCTGGACGGTCCATGGAGGCCCCGGCCGCCGCGGGACGCCAAACACGCAGCGCCGCGCGGACCTCGGGCGGTGAGGACCTCGTGCGCGGGTCAACCCCCAGGAAGCCGTGCGGCGCTTCCCGGGCGGGACTGGAGCGCCCCCTGGCGGCCTCCCTCCTTATTGCAGCCCTTGCCCGCGTCCTCCCCGGGCGGACGCGGGGACCCGGGCAGGCGCCGGGAGAGCGTCCAGCAGCTTCCTACCAAGGCCTGCAGTCCCTTCGCGCTTAGGCTGCTACTGATCTGGCCTTAATTTAAAGAGGAAAGGGAGGAAGGGTCTTCCTTCCGACCCCTGTGTGAGAAAATGGAGAGGAATACACATACACTCCGGTGGGGTTCTCTAGACGTTTTTGGTTCAAGGACCACTTCGGGGTCAAAGATTCTAAAGCACATCTCCTGCTGCCGCCGTACAAAGTCTTAGGGCGCTTTTAATTGGACAGTCACTGAAAAGTTAGATTTGGCACTTGGGAATGGGGTTTCAGATATGTACAGAAAACAGAATAATGTTTTTACAAATTGTTGATTCGTTTGTGATTTGATTCTTTGAACGTTGCTTCTTAAACTGCCGGGAGGACCTTCGGGGTCAACTCAGAACCAGTATTGGAGAATACTTTTGATTCACCAGGCAGGAATTGTAAGGATCGTCAGTTTGTTTTAGGTTGAATCGATGGTACCAGGGACATTCTGGGACCTCGGAGTATTCTAGAACTGTGCCCACGTTGGGCTAGCGGTTGATAGAGTACGGTTTATCAAAGTAGTGTAAGACAGAAAGGGCTTCCGAATGTAACCGATTTAGTGATAAGACCCACCGTACCTGCATCATTTAGAAGAACGTACTTATTGGTCCATCGATACAGGGCTAGAAAGAAATAGATTTCATCTTCTTCCTTGGTCTCATAACATTTATTTTTCCGAAGTTCTAACTCAAACACTTTCTGTTACACTTTTAGCACACCATCTCTTGTTGCTTTTGGAAATGGAGGGCAATTTATCATTAACTTCTACATGATAAATTTCCAAATAATTGAAGACAATTATTAATTGTATGCGTTTCAACCTTCTTTCTTCCAGGTTAAATAATGAAAGTCTTTAACCTATCTTCATATCATGTATTTTCTGTCTCTTCTCTCTCCAGCTTTTTTCATCCATCTTCAAACATGAAACTGTACAATGATACATAATAATTATAATAATAATGCTCACAAAGAATATGTAAATTAAGCATCCCAAATGCCATCTTTATACATTGCATATATGTCTTCATATCCTTGGAGACAGTGGGAGACCAGCTCATATTGGAAGAATTCATAGTCCTAACTTTTAGACCAAGTATATGTGGAAATAGCCACCCAACCACTCCCAGCACCAACGACGCTACCCCCTGCCTTCAGCTTGGAAATAGATTGGATATTGTTTATATAGCTGTTTCTCAAAACTGTTTTCAGGTCAAATAATATCTTCAGTTGAAATAAAACTCTGCTTTCCTCACTTGGGATTTTACTAAGACAATGAGGCAAATGCTGTGGGCTTTACCCAAGGGAGCTTTATGCTTTTTTTTTTGTTTTTTTGGAGCCTTATGCTTTAGATACATAGTTGGAGAGTAACTGAAATTTATAAAACCAAAAAAAAAAAAAAAAAAAAAAAGCCCTCATCTGTTTGGTTCATCCTGGGAGGTTTGTAGTTCATTACTAATTCATGGGGCAGCACACACCTACTCAGTGTCTAAATCTGCCTTGAGGTCTTTGTGTTTTCCTTTGCCTCTTATCAATCGCTGTCTGTGGAGACAGCTCCAAAGAAGAATGTCTGGGCATCTACCCTTTGCCCCAGAAACTCCCAGTTGGAGGATCCTGAAAGCAAACATGAAAAAAAAAAAAAAGGTATTTAACCTAGCAAATGCCACGCCGCCACCGCCGCCTCCCCCCCTCCCTGTCCCGTTCTAGACGTTTCGCGTTGTCAAGGCACATACAAAACTTTCTTGATACTCTGGTACTTGTCACCCAAGAGTAGAATTTTGTCCTATGAAGTCAAAAAAAAAAGAAAAGAAAACGTATCCATTCAGTTTACCATTATGGAAAGTGCCAGATGGATAGGGAAGAAGGAGAGTATATAGCTTCCCTTGTCCATAGCATTTGATTATAAAACATTTGGTAGGAAAAGTATAAGAAACTGCTACCTGAACATCTAAAGTTGTAACTCTGGTCCCCAGCTCAGCACCCTGTTTGCTTTCGTCATCCATCCCCGTTTGCAGCTATTTTCTCTTTGTCTTTGGGCTGTTTTGCTGCTAGTCAGTTAGCTCCCCAGGGCAGTCAGCACCTCAGCATCAGTCCTCTGCCTGGCACAGAGGCAGAGCCCTCTCAGAAGCTGTGTTCAGGGTAGGACCAGGTCTCATTTGTTCTTCTGGCAGTCTCTGCACCCTGTGTTCCCTCTTCCACGGATCTCCTCCAATTCCCACAGGGAATGAGTCAGTAGTCTCCAGTCCACATGTAATCTACGTTATGCCATGTGTCCGAAATGGACTATATTTTTTGACAAGCCACCAAATCCTTTCCAAGAATGTTCTGAAATCGAGTACGAAGTGAGAAGCGGCAGTGCAAGAAGGGACAAACCTGACCTAGGCTGGGCTCTGCCACGTACTAGATGGGTCACTCTGGACTGAACACAGTGTCCAGATTTGTGGTGGAGCACAATACTCCTTCCCTCGTTAGGAATGATGCGGCATGTGAAGATTAAGTGAGATCATAATGGCCAACATTTATTGAGCACTAGCTATGCCCAGCATGGGTCTTAGAACTTTGTGCACTGAATCATTTAATCAATGAGATAATGCCAGTAGGGTGCCTGGCTCGGCGTCCTACACAAAATAAATGGTAGATAAAAATAGCATGAAAAATTTATTCAGTGAGAAAAGAGACTATAGATAGAAAACTTCTTAATGCTTTTTTAGCCTATTGGAAATGCAATTTATGTACACAGTCAAAACTCTTCTGTTTTACTGTGTGAAAACTGACATATAATGTTCAAAGGTTGCAATTTTAACTGCTTTTTAAGCTTCTTGGTGTGATGTATTTTAAGTTTAAGACTGTGTCAAGTTATTGTAAGCTGCATACATTTCATTTGAATGTTTATATTTTGGCATTACTGATTTAAAATGCATAAGTATTTTAAAAAATTGAGCTACATACTTAAAACTTATTGTAGGATTAAAGAAAATACTTATATTTAATTTAACTTTATTTTTATATAAATAATTTTATAAAATATGTAATACTTAGCACAGTTTTGATATAGTATGTGCTCAACTTCAGCTTAGCTGTTATTATCCCTATTACTAGCTGGACCTCTGAAATAATAGTCAAAATAAAAATGTCCATGAGAGAAATAACTTATTTTAAAATATTCTTGAATATTCTTCAGGTACATTCTTTCGGCCGCCTGAGCTTTCTCAGGCAGACATTTTAAGGGGCTTGGGGTCCCCATCCTAGGGACAGCCTTGAGCTGCTGGAAACATGCTAGTGTTTGTTCAAGTCTCTTGGTGTGGGGAGGTGGCTGAAATTGATTGCGCTAAAAGCTGCAGTTCTTGCAGGCCAAGGTTGAGGTCTAGTGGAGAAGAGGACTCAGAGGAACCTGACTGAAGTTTGGTGGAGGACAACCTTTGTCACCTTCCGTAGCAACTGTGCAGAGCTGCCTCTGTCCTTTTACGGATGATGGTCCCTATTGGTGGACAGTTGAGTACGGTGTGGTGAAGGTTTCATAAACCCAAGCTATTTTCAAGAACACAAATATTAAATGGAAATTGGTTTTTCAAAAATGATTAATGCAGCATATAAAGAAATGGTATAATAATCAATCTGAGGTTGGGTTGTTTTTTGGTTTTTTAAGAATCCTGAACTATTATCCCTTTCCTAGGACTAACCTTGTAAAAATGTGTGTGACGAACTGTTTATTACCTAAGATGCCATGGCCTGATGCTTGGGTTTCAATCCTGGTTCTGACGCTGATAACCTACATGGTTGTGACATGTAAGTTATCAGTACCAGTGTCTCTTTGTCTGCATCTGTAAAATGGGATAATAATCTCATAGGATTGTTGTGAAATTTAAGCTAATGAGTCCATGTAAAGCCCTTAATAACTGTTAACTAGTTTAATCCAACTTTTTCTCACCTCTCACACCCAGGCCTAGAGAAGTCTTGGGAAGGACCAAGGATGACTATGTGCTTTTGTACCTTTAGTGTGCAATGCCTGTCCTATTTCTGTATCTTAAAAAGTTCTCCAGCATTCACTGCTGATTTCACAGGTACCTATTCCCTAAACCCCTTGCTGATCCCACTGACTTGCCATTAGCATCCTATGTGTATTTTCCATTATAGAATTAACTTTAGCTCTCCATTCATTACAGTTTGGGGTTCTTGTCTAATCTTGGCTACTCATCTTTTGACCCCCACCAACTCAGTAAACCTTTAAGCATTTGCTGAGGGTCTCACCTCATGTGGGATACACAAGCGGGGTGAGGTGAAGTTTTCTTTCACAGAGAATATACAGTTCCATGATGGCTACTAGCTTTCCAAGCTCTACCAAGTGCCAAAAGGTCTAGCAGAGATAATTGCTTTGTTTTTAATACATGTCCTGGAAACCTAGAGGAGTCAGAATCTTCAGGGAAGGAGGAGTGGGCTTGAGGTAAGTCTTCAAGGATGCTTAGAGTTTGATAGGTGGCCTTGGCAGGAGACAGGTGCCTGGGGAGACTGGAGAGCCAGCCTTGCCTGTGGGGAGAGAATTCCGATTTGGGGTTGGATGGGTAGGGCGGGACCAAGTTATGGTGGACTTTGGAAACTAATCATGTCTTTAGATGTGATAAGAGAGGAAATGGAGAGGCCCTGTGTATCTTTTCTTTTTTAAATTAATTAATTAATTTTTGGCTGCGTTGGGTCTTCGTTGCTGCGCGCGGGCTTTCTCTAGTTGCGGAGAGGGGGGGCTACTCTTCGTTGCGGTGCGCGGGCTTCTCACTGCGGTGGCTTCTCTTGTTGCGGAGTGCGGGCTCTAGGCGTGCGGGCTTCAGTAGTTGTGGTGCGCGGGC